CCAAAAAATTACCCATGGGTCCCCAGCAAGCCTCACCCGGGGGTCTTCACCACCCCCTCACCCAGACTGACCCCTCATCTGCCTCCTTCCAGAGAAAAATCATCCAGGGGGGTGGGAGAGCTGCCTAACCCTGGTTAATGATTGTGTAATTCCTCTTGTCTGCTGGAGCCCGCAGCTGCTCCAGTAAACTTGGGAGGCCTGGGAGGACAGGGTGTTTTTGTAACCATTCTCATTTTTGTGCCTCTTCTTAGCTAACAGGCATCATCCTGGAAGCATCCTGGCTTTCTGAAACAATCTTCCCATGCGTGGGTGCTTGGGAAGCCGGGATGAAGCCACGGGAGCATCCGGCTTAACCGTGAACGTGCCGAAGCCCTTCCAGCCACTCCATGTGCTCCCTTCCCTCCTTCTCCCCCTCTGTACCCGGCTCCAACTTGAAACACCAGCCAAGTGTGTTTTCTTCCCTCTCTCCTCCTTCATATTTCTTTTCCTCCTGTGAAAGGAGGGGACGTTAATCCCACCCTAATTCAACCTGCAGGAGGATGTGGTGGCTCATGCCAACCCCAACTGCAGGGACTGGCTCACGGGGACAACCCCCTTGTCCCCAGGGCTGGCACAGTGTCTCCTGGTGCAGGCAGGCATATATTTTTTTTTTTATTTTCTTTTTTTTTATTGCCTCTGAACAGCAGCATTTTTCAGGGCCATGGGAATTGCAGAGCCTCTTCCAGCTCCGACTCTAGGAATGTCCCCATGGTGGGAGCTGGAATGGGAGATGTCAACATCTCCCTGACCTGGCCTGGATCAGGGAAGTGCGTGAAGGCTTTACCTCCTTTCCTGCATGAAAAGTGTTTGATTAAAGTGTTCTTCTAATGTTCTTTCCGCACTGCTTTGAGGGAGGTCTTTAAAATCAGGGGAGGGAGCGCTGCCAGAGCTCTGACTAAGCCTGACCTTGGATCCTGTGCCATATGGAGTTGTACTGCAGCGGCCAGGGTGCTGGGAAGCTGCAAATCGTTCCCTTCTGGCCTTGGGAGAGGGTTCCCAAATGTCTGTGAGCAGCTCAGGGCGTGGAGGTCACCTCAGCTTCAGCTGCAGGGCGAGAAGCGTGTGGGACCTGGCTGGTTCTGACATCCCCAGGGTGGGAATGCTGGGTCTGGGTTGGGTGCCATCACCCTTCCCTCCCTATCCCTTCCCTCCACATCCCTCCCTGGGCTCTTCCTGCCCGGGCTGAGGATGGAAGCAGATCAGATCAGGGTGGGTTTGGAGTCATTAGGCAGAGAGGGAGCAGACGCTGCTGGATGGAGCTTATATAACCCCAGGCACAGCATCCGGCCCCTGCCAGGGCTGCAGTAACCCAGATACAGCCCAGGAAGGAAAAAAACTACTCGTGGGGCAGAGTATCTCCCTGGCTGGTTGTTCAGGAGTAAATATTTACGTGGCACTGCATCCGCCAGCAGCCGGAGCCTTGGGAAAAGCAGCCCAGCTCCCCCTTGGAGGGATGGGGATGAACTTTTAGCAGCTGAAATGGGAGCCCTCGTGTTGGAGAAGTTAGTGGGGGCAAATTCCTGATGTTGCCATCGATTCCTTGGGCAGGAATGGCCCCGTGTGAATCTGCTGATCCCAACATAAAGACAGGAAACGTTCAGGAGCTGCAGCGCCAGCACTGCCTTGCGACAGCTTTCCTTGCCCCAAAATCTCTTTCATTTGAAGGATGGGTGTTTCCTCCAGTCCTTCAAGTGTTTAGACTGTGGTTAAAAGTGGAATTCCAGTCCCATCTCCTTTCTGCCCTAACCCAAGGAATTGCTGACCACCAGCAATCCCTGTGTTCCCTTGCTGGGCACGTGGAAGCCAGGGTGCGTGATGTGGGCAAGGAGCTGTTTTAATAGGATCTATTAACTCCTGGATTTCCTTTTCCTTGTTTGCTCAAGCTCTCAGGGTTGGTGTTGACTCAACTGGTCTCTCTTTTAATGGTTTCGGTGCTGTTTGATGCTGTCCACAGGGGAGCTGCTTCCATGGAGTTTGTTTTCCAGAGGAAGAAACTTGAGTGACTGTGCGTGCCCCAAGCTGGGGATTTGGGGGTCAGGTGTTGCTCTCAGGGAAATGAGGTCTCAAGGGGAATTCCCTGCTGGTAGGATTCAGGAAAACTACTTGAAATACAGTGGGTGCTTCTTCACGGGTGAAGCTGCTCCGTGTGCTCGCCTGTGCATCCCTGTTCATCCTCCAAATGTGGATGTGCCAGGGACCAGCTGCCTCATCCCCTCAGCTCCCCACCACTTGTTTATTCAGGCTGTGCTGGCAGCAGCGTGCCAGGAGTCTCGTACGCCTGGTGCGGGCACTGCCTCCCCATTCCTGCTCCTCAATCCTTAGGGAAGCACATCCCACACAGCCCTGCCAGCTGGGGGGACCTCTCAGATGCCAGTTCCTGCCCTTCTGTGGAAAGAACCACTTGCTGCTTACACAAAGGAACCTGAAGGAGCAGTGGGGTCTGGCTGTGCCCTCCTGCCCCGTGGTGGAGGATTTACAGACCCCACTGCAGCAGAAATCCCAGTTTGCAGCAGGGGCACCACATTTGGGAACAGGAGGGTGGCACCAGTAGGTGCAGATGAACAGCAACTAATCTTTACCAAATCAGCCAGAAACAGGAGCCTGAAGGGCATTAAGCATTATTATTGTTATTGTTATTCTAGTTATTATTATTCTAGTTATTACCAAGGCTTATTCCCCTTCCTGCTGCCCCTGGATATGCCCATGGCTGGCCATCCTCATCACCCAGCATCCTGCTGCAGCCTTCCTCATCCTGCCACAGCCTTCCTCATCCTCCAGGAGGGAAATTCAGGCACAGAGCTGGGATCAAACCAGTTCACCCCTGCCTGGCATCATCCCCACAGCGAGGGGTTTTCTTCCCACTAGTCACTCCCACCCCAAAGCAGGATGCTGGAACACTCGGAGCAGGATCCCAGCAGGATCCCACCAACAGATTGGTCCAGATGAGCTCTGGAGCGCTCTAAAAATACTAAAGCAGAGAAAGCAGGGAGCAAAAAATGGCTGAGATTCAGTGAAATCAAAGGCATAATTAAAATGCAGCCCGTGTGAGTGTATTTTTAGGACCCTACAAAAAGGCTCTAAACCATTGAATTCCCATCAGCACACGAATGTTCCAGTTTAATGGAATCCTGGGGCCTGTGGGGAAGAAGTGAGAGATGCTTAATTGTCAGTGTTTGTGTTTTATTCATGATTGAACATACTTACCAAGCAAAAACTGATTTGCTGTGGGCTTCTCACTGCTTGTGTGGCTTTGAGCCTTATTCCAGCCAGCAATTGCCTGGCATGCTGGAAGGGTCAGTTGTTCCTGGTGTTTGCATGAGCTGTGCATGGAGAAGGGATTATTGCCTCCCCTCCCATGGGGAGCACCCTGCCAGGGCTGCCTTGGGGTGCTCAGTGCTTGTGTGGGCTCCAGGGGATCCGAGACAGAGGAAAACCCTGTGGGGGCGAATCAGGAGCTGCATCCAAGCTGAGAAGTCCCTGAACGCGGGTGGCTGGATTTTGGGAGAGCTCTGGGAGAAAGTCTGGGTGTTCCCATCTCCTCCTGGCCTCCCCTCATACCTGAACCTGAAGCCACTGAGCATTTGCTGGTGCTGCTGTGGCAAAGCCAAGGTAGAAACCAGGCTCCTTCCCACATCGCTCCGGCACCAGGGACCCATTGGAGCAGCCGGAATGGTGCGGCCAGACCTGCACGGAACCATGGGCCTGATGAATCCTCTGGGCTCACCCACCCTGTGCCTGCAGCTCAGGTGGCAATCTGGGATCTAATCCTGCCCCCGTGGCTGTGGCTGGGAGCTGATTCACTGCCCGTCCTTAGGGAGGGATTGTGGAAGTGACACCTTTTCCCATCGGAGCCGGATTGATGCGGCGCCTTCCCCCGCCGGCTGCGCAGGTGGAGGAGGGATGAGCCGGCACCGTGGCGCAGATGTGGTCCCTGCAGGCTCAGGGAGGGGGCTCGGGGGGGGCTCTGGATCGTCAGCGGGATCGTGACTTGTATGGGATGGGATTTAATGTGTTGTGAAACGATGTGCAGATGGCACAGCCGCCCGGCCGGAAGGAACGGAGGAACACGGGATGCCAAGGCAGGGTTCCTTATTTTAAGCTGCTTCCCTTGCCAGGGAACAAATATGCCTCGCTTCAAAATAATAATTATAAAGCCTGGGAGAAGATCCAGGGAACCCAAAATCCTTCTGTGGGTATGGGTGTGTTGGCCAGATGCCTGGCTGGGGCGTGTTTGGTGGGGGAATATCATCCCAGCAGGTCATGGCTGGCTCAGAGACCAGCATTTGGGGTCATGCTGTGATTAGAAAAGGGGAAAACATGTTCCCTGTTACCTTGCACCTCAAGGATTCATCCTGTCCCTGCTGCAACCAGGCGTGTGAAACCTCCCTGCTGGCTCCTGAAGCTGCAGGAAGGCGAATTGCATCCTGAAACCCACCAGGCACCAGCCTGTCCCCTGCATCAGGGATTGCTAGGGATGGGCAGCATGCTGCTGCCAGCACCTGGCACGCCAGGAATAATGGCACTGGGTGGGCAGGGTGCTGTCTGACAGGAGGGAAATGCCAGTGCCTATGTGTGCTCAGGATTAGCTGCAATGGGAAGAGCTGGAGCCAGCGACAGCTTGTGTGGGGAGAACTGTCTCTGCCACAGGCGGCTGTCGTGGGCCTGGGGGTCTGCAGAGAGACCCTGGGGTGTCCCAAGGGTGCTGTTGAACTGGGATTTACTGTTATGTTCCGGCTTGAGATCAGCAGTGTCAGGGTGTGTGGGTCTGGTTTCCACTTGACAGAGTGTCAAGGTTTTTCCTCTTGGGACAGGAGAGGAAACTGAGGCACACAAAGATAGTGGATGCTGAAGAGTGCAGGGAGGGCTGGGAACTGCTGCCTGACCCCAGCAGGGGTGTCCTGCAGACAACACCTTCCATTTGTAAGCCAACATGTGTCTTCCTCTCTCCTCCTCCTCTCCAGGCTTCCACGTGATCCCTTCAGTGTCCAGCATCGTTCCCGAGAGCTGCCTGCTCATCGTGGTGGGCCTTCTGGTCGGGGGGCTCATCAAAGGGGTGGGCGAGAAGCCCCCCATCCTCAAATCGGACATCTTCTTCCTCTTCCTCCTCCCACCCATCATCCTGGACGCCGGCTACTTCCTCCCCTTGCGCCAGTTCACCGAGAACCTGGGCACCATCCTCATCTTCGCCGTGGTGGGGACGCTCTGGAACGCCTTCTTCCTGGGGGGGCTGATGTACGCCGTGTGCCAGCTGGGTGGCCCCGGCCTCAACCACATCGGCCTCCTGGCCAACCTGCTTTTTGGCAGCATCATCTCTGCCGTGGACCCTGTGGCCGTGCTGGCCGTGTTTGAGGAGATCCACATCAACGAGCTGCTCCACATCCTGGTCTTCGGGGAGTCCCTGCTCAACGACGCCGTCACGGTGGTGAGTGCGCGGAGGGGCTCGGCCGAGGGGGTGGGGTTGGGTTTGGGGGAGCATCTCGGAGTGGTGGCACCAGGACAGCGGGACTGGCAGCTCGTGTCAGGGCCATTCCAAGCTGCTCAGCTGCAGCAGCTCCGAACGCTCCGAACCTTGTCCAGCTCGAAGCTAAATATAGCGGCTTAAAACACTGCGGAGGTGAGTTAGGGTGAAGCAGTTTACTTGATGGTTTGGGGAGGCCAAGGGCACGTGTCCAGCCAGCTGCTGCCTCTTGGTGAAGAGCAGGGACTGTGCCTGGTGCCTTGGTTTGCTGGGAATCAGCTCTCCAGGGTGGAATTGCTGCCGTGCCCATGCCTGTCCTGCCAGGGAAAGCAAGAGGGGCTGGTGCTGGGTCAGGCAGCACGGCCATGTAGCTGCTGCTCCCTCTGTCTCCTCTCATATGGTCACCCTTGCTGTCCTCCAGATGCAGCTGTGAGGAGGTGGGAGGGCAGGACATCACTAGCCATGGCAAGAGGGGAGCTGGGGGGCTGCAGCCAGGCTGGCATCCCACCAGACCACCCTCGGCCCCATTTTGAGCAGCAGCTTTGCAGGGACCTTTGGGAGGTGGAGCCAGGCCTGCTCCATTTCCAAAGGACATCAGTGTCCAGGTGCTGGCTCAGCCATCAGTGTGGCCTCCTCCTCTCTGCAGAGCCGACCTCTAAATTTACTTCTAACCCACTGCTTTTTCCTGGCTCCTCTCCCATGTCCCAGCTGTCCGTTTTGGAGCTGGCTGCTCAGCGTGCTGCTGTGCTGCTGACGAGGTTCCTGGAACATGCTGACCCACCACAGGGCTCCTCCCAGGCACTTCTCCCCCATTTTTGACCAGAGGGGCTGCCTGCAGGATCTGTGTCCCTGCTCCCATCCCTGGGGAATTCTTTTGCCTTCTGCTGCCACATCTGTCCCTGCCCATGTCCCAGGGCCCAGCCCTGGCAGGCAGGAGCTGGCACCTCGCCCTCTGCCTGCTTGCAAGTGCTGCTGTTCCTGCAGGATGCCCTAAATCCCTTTTCCCATCCTGACACGCTGCCTTAACATCTCTCCAGTGTCTGGAGGTGGGAGAACGTGACGCAGCCTGGGGTGGGCTCCTTCTGTGAGGTTTCCCTCAGTTCCAAAGCTGTCTCAAGGGTTTGGGCTCCTCTCCGGCTGAGCAGAGCAGATGGTGGCTTTTCTCTCTGTGCATCTGTCAAGGGTCTCCCAGCCTGGATCCGTCCTGACTGTTCCATTGGGAAACAGGAATGGTCTCTGGCTGGTTTAGACCATGACCAAAGCCCTTCCTGGGACAGTTGGAGAGCAGAGCTGTCCCAGACACATCTCTGATGGCCCAGTGTCCCTCCGAGCCACAGGAGACGAGGAGCTGGTCGGTCCCTATGGGTCTGTGTAGCAAAGCACCACCAGCCTTTTTTGGCGTGAGGCTTGGTCAAGCACAGGACCCAGCCTGGGGTCACCAAGCACTGACACACCTCAGCTCAGGTGTGCCACACTGGGGCCCTGCCCGGCTCCAGGGAAGGTCCCCGTGCAGGTCTCCTCCGAGGTGGGGTTGTCTCTTGCCAGCAGGACAGTTTGAACCCGTCTCCTTTCTCCCTCCCAGGTCCTCTACCACCTCTTTGAGGAGTTTGCCAACTTCGAGCAGGTGACCATCCTCGACATCATCCTCGGCTTCCTCAGCTTCTTCGTGGTGTCGCTGGGCGGTGTCTTGGTGGGCGTCATTTACGGGGTGATCGCCGCCTTCACGTCCCGCTTCACCTCCCACATCCGAGTCATCGAGCCCCTCTTCGTCTTCCTCTACAGCTACATGGCCTATCTCTCTGCAGAGCTCTTCCACCTCTCCGGCATCATGGCGTGAGTTGGGAATGGGGGGGATGAGCCGCCCTCCTGTCCCCAGGACCGTTTGGAGGATTTACTGTGGTGTAACCACTGACCCAGCATGGCTAGTAACTGCCCAGTGAGGGCCAGAGGTGTGTTTGGGGTGGTATAAGCAGGGAGGCAGATGAGGGAAGTGACTCTCTTGAGTTGTTCCAGATCCCAGTTGACAGATCCCAGGGTGCTGACAGCCCGTTTCCCATTCTCCTGGGTACACAGGAGCAGGCAGGGCCTGGCTCCAATGCTCACTCACAAAACGCTGCTGCAGGGCCAGGGTTTGGGGCTGTCCCCCAAAACACTGCTGCAGGGCCAGGGTTTGGCACTGTCCCCATGTCCCCATGACTGCTGAGTGTCCCAACCTTGCCCCCAGGCTCATTGCCTCCGGCGTGGTCATGAGGCCCTATGTGGAAGCCAACATCTCCCACAAGTCCCACACCACCATCAAGTATTTCCTCAAGATGTGGAGCAGCGTGAGCGAGACCCTCATCTTCATCTTCCTGGGTGTCTCCACCGTGGCTGGTCACCACTACTGGAACTGGACCTTCGTCATCAGCACGCTGCTCTTCTGCCTCATCGCCAGGGTGTTAGGTGAGGTGTCAGTGTGGTAGCAAAGTCCTTGGGGATGGTCACAGAATCATGGAGTGGCTTGGGTTGGAAGGGACCTTAAACACCATCTAGTTCCCCCCTGCCATGGGCAGGGACACCTTCCACTAGCCCAGGTTGCTCCAGTCCAATGTGGCCTTGAGTGGCCACCCTGGTGTTGGGTCATGGGCAACTCTCAGGACCCTGATACCCAGGTTTGCCTTGCTGGGGAGACTGGAGTTGACTGGGTGGCACTGCTCCACCATGGGCATCACCCTTGCAGGTGGCTGGCTTTGGGAGGTGGAGTAAAGGCCATGTTTGTCCCAGGTGTGGGATTGGAGCTAGTGAGGGATGTTGGGATGAGCAGCAGGACAGCACCCACCCGCACCCACAACCCTGGGGAGGGTGACACTGCACTGCAGGCTGGGCTGCCAGGAGGTCTCTTTGGGTCTGGAGGGGATCCTTCACCGTGTGGTCACACAAGACCCTGCCCTGCTCCCCCAGGTGTCCTGGTCCTCACCTGGTTCATCAACAAGTTCCGAATTGTGAAGCTGACGCCGAAGGACCAGTTCATCATCGCCTACGGGGGCCTGCGGGGAGCCATCGCCTTCTCCCTCGGGTACCTCCTGGACTACAAACATTTCGGCATGAGGGACATGTTCCTCACAGCCATCATCACTGTCATCTTCTTCACAGTTTTTGTGCAGGTCGGTGGTGCTCAGGTTGTGGTTTCAGAGGGAAAGGGGTTATTTAATGGCTCTGTGTGTGTGTGTGGAGAGTGAGGAGCACAACCCCACCCTCCCTCCCTGACCCTGTCACTGTCCCCCCAAAAGCTCTTGAGGTTGCCTGGTGACACCAACAGTGACTTGGCTGTGCTGAACACCCCCCTGCTCCCACCAGTGTGCCTTGGGGAGAGATCTAACCCCCTCTCCCCCTTCCCTAGGGCATGACCATCCGGCCCTTGGTGGATCTGCTGGCCGTGAAGAAGAAGCAAGAGACAAAACGCTCCATCAACGAAGAGATCCACACGCAGGTAACGCGCTGCTCCGGCCGGCCCTCCCCGCGCGCTTCTCGTCGCCGCCTTAGCCCTCTGCTCTCTCTGCTTCTGCCACCTCCACCGCTGTAACCAGGCAGGTTCACAGAGCAGGACCTGCCCCTAAATCAGTGCCCAAGGTAAGGGGGGACAGAGCGAGGGCTCTCCCCCGTCTGTGTCGTCCAGTGCCTGCTCCGACCCAGCTCTCCCCTGTGCCTGGTAGAGCCGCAGCCTGGTTGTGTAGGTCTGTCCTGCCCTCCCGAGGCCCATCCTGGACCCACAGCCCTGATTTTGCACCCCCTGAGTGCCTTCTGTGTCAGCCTGGGTGTCGGGGTGGGGAGAGGGTGGGCAACAGCCCTCTGAGCTGCTGACGCCTCGGAGTGTCTCTTCCAGTTCTTGGATCACCTTCTGACGGGGATTGAGGATATCTGTGGTCACTACGGGCATCACCACTGGAAGGACAAGTGAGTGTGGAGGTTTGGTGGCTGGGGAAGGGTTTGAATCACCACCCAGAAGGTTTCTCAGCCCCGTGCTGGGTTTTTCCCTAGGCTGTAACATCCACACGCACTCTCCCTGCGGTGAATTATGGCCCTGGGTTGGGTCCAAGCGGGGCTGCAGGGCTGTGCCCCTTCACCACAGCAGGGTGGGAGCTGCTGGTGGCTGGTCCCTGCAGGAGCTCAGGACTGTCCATAGTGGGTGTGAGCAGCTTCTGGGTGTTTTGGAGTCTGTGTGGCTCAGGAGGGATTCAGAGAAGCTTGGCCTAACCTGCGCTGGTGGGAACTGAGCCCACCACTGAATGGGCTATCCTGGGCCAGGGATGGGGAGCAGGGAGTGGGTGGCAGGGCAGGGGGAGGTCTGACATGTTGCTGCTCCTTCTTTCCCCGTGTCCTCGGGAAGGCTGAACCGCTTCAACAAGAAGTATGTGAAGAAGTGCCTGATCGCAGGGGAGCGCTCCAAGGAGCCCCAGCTCATCGCCTTCTACCACAAGATGGAGATGAAGCAGGCCATCGAGCTGGTGGAGAGTGGGGGCATAGGCAAGATCCCCTCTGCTGTCTCCACCGTCTCCATCCAGTGAGTTCCCAGTCCTGGCACCTCCCATGGGACCCTGAGTGCTCCCTGCTAGTGGCCACAGGGCAAGCAGCCCTTGGGTCCTGCGTGGCCATCGTGGTGTCGCTCTGAATCCTGTCTGTCCACGCAGGAATATCAACCCCAAGTCCCTCCCTGTGGAGCGCATCCTTCCGGCCCTGTCCAAGGACAAGGAGGAGGAGATCCGGAAAATCCTCCGCAACAACCTGCAGAAAACCAGGCAGAGGGTGAGGTGTCCCCTGGCACCGTGTGTGTCCCCTTTGCCTCGCTGGGGGTGTCCAGGACCACTGCCCACCAGAAGCCCTCAGCTGGGCCCTTCACTCCCACTGTCCCTACCCTGCTACCCTTTGTGTTCCTGGCCTGGCTCTCCATCCCCAGGAGGCTTTTCCTCCTGAGATGGCACTGGAATAATCTGAGGGGAAGGATGGGGTGAGCCCAGCCTTTAAACCCTCACTGGGCCAAGGTGGGTCAGGATCAGGCATCCCACAGTGGCACACAAGAGATGAGCCACCAGCTTGCCTGGAGCTGCTCTGCCCACTGGTGGCTGTTTCATCAATCTCCAGGGAAAACAGGGCTGTGACCTTCCTTCCCTTTCCTTGTGGGATTTTAACGCCTCCTTTCCTTGGGGTCTCTTCCCAGTTGCGATCCTACAACCGGCACACGCTCGTGGCCGACCCCTACGAGGAGGCCTGGAACCAGATGCTCCTGCGGAGGCAGAAGGCCCGGCAGCTGGAACAGAAGGTGTCAGGGGAATGCTGGAACTGGGATGCTGCCACAGGCTGGGGAGGATGGGGGAGACAGGGTGGCTTCCCAGCCTGGGAAGCACATGAGTGTCCAGCACAGGGAGGGAGCTGAGGTTCAGATGACAGTGGGTGACCCCAAACCTTGGGGGTCTCTGATTGCCCCAGGCTCTGAGCAATTCCCTGCAGCGTGGCTGGGAGGATGTGCACATGTGCTGTGCATCCCGCTGCTGCTCCTTGCTCATCCCTGCGGCCTGGGGTCAGTTCCCTGCCTCCCCTTCCCCGTGTACCTTGGCCATTCCCCTGAGACAGTCCCTGTGCTCCCATTCCAGATGAACAACTACCTGACGGTGCCGGCTCACAGGCTGGATTCGCCCACCATGTCCCGGGCTCGCATAGGCTCAGGTAGGTGGGATGGAGCTGTGTCAGGAGTGTCACTGCTGGCACCCAAAACACTCGGAGGGTGTGCTGTCCTGCACCTCCTCGGCTCCCTATGGCTCTCCAGCCCCGACCATCCCCATCCCACACCCATCCAGCCAAGCCCCAGGGGTTTGCTGTTCTGAGCAGAAGCACCTAGTTTGCTTCTCAGCACAATTCCCACTGGGAAGTCAGGTTGGCCAGTTTCTCCAGAGCTCAGATTACTCCATCCATGCAGCCATGTCTGTGTCCATGCCTTTCCCTGCCCTCCACATGGGAGGAGACCAGGAGCACTCAGCCCCAAGACCTGTTGGTCTGGACTCCCAGCTCCTCTGTCACGCATGTGCTTTGCAATCCTCAGTTCCTCCTGTCCTGTGTGTCCCTTCCTGCTCTGGTGACACGGTGACAGTGTGACTGGGTGTGACGGGGCTGCAGAGGCTGCGGTCCATCAGCAGAGGGCAGCTTTGTCCTTCCAAATTGAGCCGGGCTGTGGAAATCGGGAAAAGGAATTACACAGCAGAATTGGAAAGCAGAGAGACAACCCAGGCCCTCCAGCCCCAAACACCCCAGCCATAATATCTGGGGTGCATCACCTGGGTGTCCCTGAGACCCCCCCTTCCCTTCCTGACCCCTCTCTGCCCCGCCAGACCCGCTGGCCTACGAACCCAAGGCGGACTCAGAGAACCTGCCCATCATCACCATCGACCCGGCCTCGCCGCAGTCCCCCGAGTCCGTGGACCTGATGAACGAGGAGCCCAAGGGCTGCAGCGGCCTCCCGCCCTCGCCCGAGGAGGATGAGGAGGGGCTGGTGATGCGGGTGAAGGAGCCCTCCTCCCCGGGGACTGACGATGTCTTCACCCCGGGGACCGGCGACAGCCCCAGCAACCAGCGGATGCTGCGGTGCCTGAGCGACCCGGGGCCCCGGCCGGAGCCGGAGGAGGGGGAGCCCTTCATCCCCAAGGGGCAGTAGCTGCTGGCACGAAGCCTCGTTATCGTTACTCTCTCTCTTCATTCGTTCGTTCTTTGCTCTCCTTTTTTGGTTTCCTGTCACTACACACCAGGTTTGGGAAGGGGAGACTGTCCTGGATGGACTGGGAATTGCCAGGACAGCTCTGCCCTGGGCTGGCCCCGATGAGCAGGGAAGGAGCCCCGGGATGCCCCGGGCTCCTCGGGCGCCGTGGCCTGGGGGTGACGGACGATTTACTGGGATTTGCAGGTGCCTCACAGCCCCCACGGGGCTCTCCTAGAGGTGCCCACCCACTCAGGACCTGCGAGTGGCTCCCTGGGGGGGCTGCGGCCGGCACAGGGGGCTCTGACTGGGGGTGTCCATAACAGCTCCCCCATGGCACAGCTTCCCCTCTCCCCAGTTGTGCTTTATCTGCCCCCTTGCCTTGCTCTGGAGCAGAGGGATGGGACGACAGGAGCCAGGCTCTGTGCGGGGCCGGCACACACACACTCCCCCCAGGACCCTCCCAGGGACCTCGGGATGGTGCCTCTGCTCCCTGCCCCGGCCACTTCCCCCCAGGGCCAGCCGTGCCCAGGATCCTCCCCCCTGGCCCCACATTTCATGCCAGGTCTTGTCAAATAAATATCTTAGAGCCATGCAAGGGGGGAGCCAGGATCCCCTTTCTTTGAGCAGCCTCTCCATCCCTCCTGGAACCACTGTCACCTGTCCCTGTGGGGACTCTCCACCAGCCTTGGCCCCTCGCCCTGTGCCAGCGCGGCAGCGGCTGCTCCTTAACCAAAGACGGGGTCTGGGGTGTGCCAGGGGAGCATCTCCTACTTGGAGGGATTATTTATCTCTCCTGCAACCAAGAGGAGCTGGGGGAGAGCTGAGGAACAGCATGGGGACACATTAGGGTCGGGAAGTTGGCAGGAGGGGGATGTCAGGGGGTGCCAGGGGTCCTGGGTTTGGAAGGACCCGTCTTTCCCCCAAAGCTTGGCTGGAGGGATCACCGAGTGTTTTGGTGATTTACAGCCCTCCCCGGGCCCAGGGGTGTCCTGCATCCTGTCTGAGCACATCACCTCGTCCCCCACGTGCCACCCAGCTCCCACCACGTGGATGCCATGTGCCTCCCCTCCCTGGGGAGCCCCCCCAGCCGCTTCCCCCCTCCCCGTGCCGTGCCTTGCCACGCGTCGCCTCTGCCCCGCTGCCTTGGTGGGCACCTGCCCCCCGTGCCCACCCCGCTCCACATCCCGCTGGGACCCCCGGGGGTCCGGCGTGTGCCGGGGTGAGCACCCACGTCGCTGCCTGCGCCTGCCTGCTGCCCTGCTCTGCCTCCAGGAGGGGAAAAAAAACAAACCAACAACAAAAAGCAATGGAAATTCTCTTGTATAAAAAGGAAAAAAAAAAAAAAAAGGAAAAAACCAAACCCATATGTAAAGAGAGATTCTTGGTTTTTATCATAAATATTCTAATAAATTAATGTTAATTTTTAGTGGGGGTATTTTCCAGCTGTTCGGGCTCCTACCCTCTGCCACACGGTCCCGGCTGCCCCAGAGGAACAAGGTGGGTGTGAGGCTTCATCCCCAGTGCTGGGATGGAGGGTTTGCCCCTCGCCCTCCTGCTGTGGCCTGGGGAGAACTGGAACCTCATCCCAGGGGGGGCTTTTTAAGCCATTCCCAGTTTTGGCAAAGATGGGATCAACAGATCCTGGGCTCCCACATCCCTCCCAGAGCCACACCGATGTAAGGGTGTGTTGGGAGGGAAAGGGCTGGTGATCTCACGGGATGAAGGTGCTTTTGGAGGGGGATGGATCACCCTGGCACAGCCCTGGGGTGCCAGCTAGATGTGCCAGCACAGCTCTGCCCATCCCAAGCTTGGGATGTTGTCCCCAGGCAGGAAGGGGCAGCACCTGCCTTGTCCTGGCAGTGCAGCAGGGTTTTTTGGGGGGCTAAAGGTTCCATCCCTAGGGAAGGGGGCTCGAGGACATCTGAGCCCTGTGATTTTTTTCCTGGATTTCCCCAGGAGTTGGAGCTGAGCCCTCAGAGAGGAGCGTTTGCAGAGAGGGAAGAGTCTCAAGGCTGCCTGGGTTGCCTGGGTGAGGGCAACCCAAAAATCCCCCAGGATCCTCCTCCCCAGCTCCAGCAGAGCTTGCACCTTCTCCCCCCTCCCCACCAAGACCCCTCCCAGAGCCCGGGGCAGCCGGAGCCCCTCGCCCTGGGGCAACTGCAATGGGAATGTGTTTCATGGCTGCAAATTAAAGCCCTGAGCCACCAGGCGGCCGTGACTCAGCCCCCGCCCTCCAGCAGCGCGTCAGCACCGGCCTTGCTCACCTGCTTAAAATACCTGAACCCCAGGGTCCCCCGTGGCCCCGGGCTGGGATTTGGCCAGGTCACCCTGCCCCAGGGGTTCCCTCCTTGCCGAAGGGGGCCTGGGCGGGATGAGGTGGCCAGGGATGTGGGACAGGGGATGCCGTGGGGCAGGTGATGCTGTGGGGCCCATGGGGCAGGCAATGACAGGGGACAGACAATGCCATGGGGCCCATGAGGTGGGTGATGCTGTTGGGCCCATGGGATGGGCAATGCCATGGGGCAGATGATGCCATGGAGCCCACGGGGTGGGCAATGACATATGCCCCATGGAGGTGCCAGTTTGGTGAGTGCCATCCTTGCACCCCACACAAGGGTCAGGGTGGCTCATCCCCGGGGGCAGCAGTGCCAAAGCGGGAGGGTTTGGCAGGAACAGGCACAGCCAGGCCATGGCTTCATCCTTGCTGGAGGAAAGCAGCGGTTTTGCCAGCCCAGCTCAAGGGGTAGGAGAACTAGAGGTGCTGGATACAGCCCAGGGCACGGAGGGAGCAGCAGGAGCACGGCAGCCCCGGGCAGTGCCCGGGAATCTCACCTGCCCACGTGCCAGTGAGCGTCACGTGCAGCCGTCCTCTTGGCTTCAGTCATAGCTTTAATGTGAGAGCTCCCCAAACCCAGGCATTTCCAGGATATTCTTGTTTCTGTCTTAAAGGGTGAGTAACTTTTTTTAATGAGGGAGGACTAATGATCCCCCCCCCAGGGATGGGCTGTCACCGCTGAGCAACTGCCAAAGCACACGAAGTGCCGAGGCCAGGGGTGGATGGGCCCTGGTGTGTCCCCCCAGCCCTATCCACAGTCCTGGTGGTGATGCCTTTTCCCTATCTATGGCTCCCTCCAGCCCTGTATCCCCCCTTTCCCTCCCAAAGTGTATTTGGGCCATGGTGGTGGCACCAAGGACACATCAAGTTCTTCCTGAACAGGGAGTTCCTGAGCGGGACGACCTTGTCACACACACACACACGTGCCAGGGTGTTTATCCCCCTTCCCCATAACCCCCATCCATGGGGGTTAAAGAGCTGCAGGAAACTGCCCCAGCCAGGAGATGGACTCTCTTGTTTCCCTCTGTGGTCTGACATGAAGCCTGGGGGGCAGTGGGTGGCAGGAGGAGAGCGAACATTCCCACAGCCCCAGCGAGGACTGAGGGGACTTGGGAAAGGCCATGAAATCACTCCTCAAATCACTGGCTCCAGGCTGAGCAGCCCAACAAGGCAGAGCTCCTGGCTGGCTCCCCAAATTTCCCAGGAGGAGAGGCCAGCACGGCAATGGGACAAGGTGTCCTGGAGCTGCCACCACCCTCAGCCGTGCTCAGGTGCCACCCGGGGCCCAAGAACCCAAAGCGGAGGGAGCGGCTGCGCTCTCTGCCAGGCTCAAATTAGTGGCACTGAGATGGGTCATCCCCTGCCACGGCTTTAAAGGCACAAGTCATGCCAAGAAAAACAGCATGTGGTGTCACCAGGAAGCCACTGAGCCTGGGGACACACAGGTCACTGTTCATGCTGCCAGGGGACGGGGACCTCCCCAGCTGGTGACACCCCAGGGAAGCTGCAAGAGGGCATCTCAGTCCCTGCCCACTCTGGGGCCAGGTTGGTGCTCCGTGTCGGTGCTGTGTCCTTGTCCCTGAGCCCCGGGGGTGCCATGTCCCCCCCACACTCCCCGGGCAGCATTTTGCAGCAGCCAGGGGAGGTGACAGGAGCCATTCCCCAGCTCTGTGTCACCTGCAGTAATAACACCCTGTGCTCCCTTTCATCTCGGGGCCTCCCTGGTGGCCCCTCTCCAGGGCGAGGGCATCCCGGAGGCATCACTCATCATCCATTCCAGGAGGCAGCTGGGGATGGGGCCGAGTCTGGGGGTCCTGGATGGTGACACGGGGACCCCGGGCTGAGAGCAGAGAGTGACACCCCTCATGCCATGCAGTGAACACAAGTGCTCACTGTGCACCTGTGCCAAATCCAACCCTGCCATGGCCAGCGTGGGAAAACCACCTCTCTGGGCAACTGTGGCCACTCGGGGCCACCACAGCAGCTGGTGGCACAGCCCCAGGGACACGGGTTCCCCATCAGTGAGGGTCTGGGGACAGCGAGCAGCAGTGGCACCTCTGGGATGGGCTGTGTGGGAGGGAGAGGAGCTGGACAGTGAACCCGAGTGACTGGGAGGTGTCCAGGAGCTGTGTTTGCCCAGGGAGGGTCTGGACAAGGCCACAGAGGAGGGTTCCACCTCCTAAACCCACAGCAGGCACGTGGAGCCTGGCGTGAGTGGGGATGGCAGTGTGGGCGTGGGGACGGTGACAAGTGTGTGGGGACAGCAGCAGGTGTGCATGGGACAGCGGGCGTTTGTGTGGAGATGGTGGCAAGTGCGTGCATGGGGATGGCAGGGAAATGCATAGGGACGGCTGGTGCCTGCCTGGGGACAGCTGGCATCTGCGTGGGGACAGCTGTGTGCGTGCATGGGGACAGTTTGTGTGTGCGGGGACAGCTCGTGTCCGCATGGGGACAGTTTGTGCCGCCGTGGGGACAGCTGTGCGTGTGCACGGGGCAGCCCTGCACAGGAGAGCCCGTGCGTGCCCGGTGAGAGCTGCCGTGGGCTCGGGGACAGCCCGCGTGTTCACGGGGACAGCCCGGGACACGGCTGACGTGAGCGGTGCCAGGGCGGCTGCCGTGGGAGCGGGGCAGGAGGAATGCCCCCACCCCGACACGAGCACTGCTGCTCCCCCGGGGCGACACCGGGTGACGTTGGTGGCTCCGGGAGAAGGGCTTGGTCCCTCCTGCGTGCTCAGGGAGTTGGCACACACCCTGCGTAATGCCGAGTGGGACGGAGCCGGTCCCACGCGGCTCAGGGGCGTCCCCGAGGTCTCTTCACCTCCAGGCTGGGCTTTCACCCCCTGCCCCGCTCCCCCGGCGCTTCCAGCCCTTTTCCCCACAGTTCCCCCACTGACCAGCTCGCCACGCCACACGGGGCTGCCAAAGGTTCCCAACGCCCCGCGGGGCTCAGCTCAGGTGGGGACGTTCCACCTTTGTCCCCATCCGCCCTCCTGGCAGCCTCTGCCCCTTTCCGTACCCCTGGAAATGCTTGGAATCCAGGAAGACCCCCGCTCCTCCCCGTGCACACGCCGGGGCACGTTCCGGCTCCACCCCGGATGATTTCCCGGTGTCCCCTGGGCAGCACCGGGATGCTGCCGACCCCAGATCCGTGGGACGAATGGGACCGTGGCACCCCGAGCCCCCGTCTTCCTGCACAGCCCCTGTCCCACCCTCACATCCCCAAAGGGGCTTTGCCACCCTCGTGCCACCACCCGGGAGGCAGGATCCGCCCGCGTTTCACCCCGAGACGATGATTATTCCTTAATTGCCAACAAAACAAACGAATAAAGCCCGGGCTGGCTCTTGCTGAGCTGGAAGGAAACGGCCTGGGTGCCATTCCCAGCGCTGGGTTCGCTGCCGGCGGCTCTCTGGGATAATCGTTTGGTGATGGATGTTAACGAGCAGCTCAGCCAGTCCGGCCGGAGCGCGTCAGCTCTTTTTAATGGGCCGATGTTTTCTCCGGAGCTGGCAGCAGCCTGTCCCTCCCGGCCCGCGGATGTCCCAGCTCATTGCCAGGCCACCGGCTCCGTCCCCCAAGGACCTGCAGTGCCCTGTCCATCCCACCAGCTCCATGGCACATCCTGCCCCACCACCCAGAGGTGTTGTGGCCCGTGGGGTCCCCCAAACCCGAGGGGTGCTCAGCCCCCAGTCAGCCCTTCCTCCTGCTGGGTCCTCCCAGCTGGATGGACCCCAATCCCTAACACTATTTGGCCCTTCTCAGAACCTTGGGAAACACTTCCCGATCCAGCTTTGCTGCTGACAGAATAAAAAGAGTTTTGCAATTGGAGGCAGCTGCCTGATTTTATCAAGTTCCTTGGAAAAATCACTTTCCAGCAGGGCTCCTCTCCTCCTGTGCCCCGTTTCAGAGACTCGTGGGGAGTAACCAGGAGCAGCTTTTAATCCCGATGGAGATGCCTGGTGGAGTCATGGGATGACACAGGCGGAAGCCAGAGAGCAAAACACCTCAGCATGAGGAGAATCCCAAGTGGGGACCCTGGCAGAGGGGACTCCAGCCCTCATGGGGACCCCAGCAGAGGGGACTCCAGCCCCCATGGAGACAGCTGAGACTCCCCATCAGGGAACGGGGAGGATTTTGGAGGTGACAGTGCTTGGGACACCCGGTGCCCCCTTTCCCCTCCAGCCTCAGCTGTGGATGCTCCTAAACACCCCATTTCCCCTCAGATCCCTCAGCACTCAGTTGCTCTTTCCGCTGCCAACTCCAGCTTCCAGCAGCAAACCCCTGGGATATGGGAGAGACCTTGGTTTCATTGACAGACTTTGCAGCTTGGAAGAGCTCTGCAAAGCCCCGGGGTGGGCAGGTGGGGGTTTTCAGGGGAGCTCTCGCAATAAAACCCTGTGAGGGTGTAAAAATAAAATTGGGCTCGTCTTCCAACGGGGTTTGTAGCTTTTAAGAATGGATCCCAGCTCCAAGCAGGAACTGGGGAAAGGGAGCAGCAGCTGCAGATGCAGAGCCTGGAGTCGTGCCCATCCATCCACGGGTCCGCGAGGCATCGGGCACCAGCTCGGCGGGGAGGCGCCTGCTGGGAATGTCTGCAGGGGGAGATGTTGCGGAGAAATGAGCTCTTTAAAGGGATGGGAATTGTTGGGATGAAAGGAAATGGGCTGCCAGAGGCTGGGGACACGTCTGGCCCCGGGAGGAGGCGGTGGCTTGGCTGGCAGTGAGGTCACGCGATGGGATTTAGGGGCTGGGGTTGAGCTCCCGGGGCTGGGAGAGCTCTGTCACCCTGGGGTGTCACCCCGCGGTGTGACCCTGTGTCTCCTGGGTGCCAGAGCTCCCTGGGGACACTGTTGGCCTGGGGGAGTTGCGGGCAATGGGTTGTGGGGCATCAGTCCGTGGAGAATCAATGGGGTACCAGAGCATGGGGCATCAATGGCATTAATGAGGCATCACATCACAGGGCATCAATGGGGCACCAGGGCACAGGGTATTAATGGGGTGTCAGATCATGAGGCATCAGCAGGGCACTAGGGCATGGACAGCAGTGGGGCATCAGTGGGGCATCAGATCACGGGGCATCAATGGGGCATCAGTCCATGGAGAATCAATGGGGTACCAGCCTGTTGGGCATCACTGGGGCATCAATGGGCATCAATGAAGAGCAATGGAAAGCAAAGAACATCAATAAGGGCATAAAAGGGACATCAAAGGGGCATCAGTGAGGCATCAGTGGGGCATCGATGGGCATGAATTGGAATCAAAGGGTATCAAAGGGAATCAAAGAGGCATCAAAGAGGCATCAGTGGGGTATCAAAGCCCATCAGTGGGGTATCAAAGCCCATCAATGGGGAATCAAAGCCCATCAATGGGGTGTCCCTTCAGCGCGCGCCCCGTCCCGACCAATCGCCGCCGGGATTCCCGCGCGCCGGAGGGGCGGAGCTCCACCGCCTTCGCCCCGCCCCCTCCATCGTCCCTCCCCTTCCCCCCTCCCCTCTCCTCCAATTGGCTCCGGGCCCGGCCGCTCTCCTCCCCCCGTGCCCGCGCTCGGGCCGGGATTGGCGGTGGGCCGGGCCAATGGGGCGCGGGCGGGAGCTATATAAGGCGCGGCGGGGGGGCGGGCGGGCGCAGCGCTCGGCGGAGCCGGTGGCGGGCGGGGGGCGGACGGGCCGGTTCGCTGCGAGTCCCTGCGGGCACCGACCGCGCCTCCCGCCGCGCCCCGCGCGCCCACCCCTCTCCCCGGCGCCTCTCGGGGGATTCCTTTTTACCTTTTCCCCCTCATTTTAAATCTTCCCCCCCCGTTTCCCCTCCCCGCCCGCCACTTCCGGCCGGTTTCCGGGCTGTTTCCGGGTGAGCGGCTCGTTTTTTCGGGCGGCGGTTTGTTTCTTTTTTTTCGGGGGGAGGGGGGGCGGTCTGCGAGAGATGCTGGAGGTGGCGGCGGTGCCGGCGGGGGCCGCCCCGGGCGGTTCGGAGGAGCGCGGGAGCCGCTTCAGCGTCCTGACGTGGGAGCAGGTGCAGCGGCTGGACCAGATCCTGGGGGAGGCCGTGCCCATCCACGGCCGGGGCAACTTCCCCACGCTGTCCGTGCGGCCCCGCACCATCGTCCAGGTGAGCGCCGAGGGGCCGGAGGGGCCGTTCGGGTGGGTTGTGGGGTGCGGGGGGACACGGGCCGCTCGCTGTCGCCCCGTTGGACTCTGCCCCCGTTCCAGCGGGGGTCAGGGAGAAAATAAAAAGTGCTGAGGCGACATTAATCGTCCCCGTCGGGCCCCGAGCCAACCCGCCCGGGCACCCTCGGCCTCCCCCCCGCCGGGCCCAGGGCAGAGCTCCTGGCGCGGGGATCGTAGAACGCTTTGGGTTGCGAAGTACCTTAAATACCGTGAATACTCTCCGCTGGAAGGGACCCGCGAGGATCATCCATCCCAGCCCCCGGCTCTGCCCGGCACAAACCCCAGGAATCCCACCCTGTGTCTCAGAGCGTTGTCAAGACGCTGCTTGGCCTCTGGCACGCCTGGGATTCGGGAAGACCATCTCATTCCAAGCCCCTACCCCTATTCCAACACCTTCCACTAGACCAGGTTGCTCCAAGCTCTGTCCAGCCTGGCCTGGATGCTCCACAGGGGTTAAAAGCTGCATGGGAGGACCGGCCCCCATCATCCGGGGGGTGCTGCGCACTCAGCTGGCCCCACTTCCCAATCCTGAGGGTCTCGGTAGGGCTGGCAGGAATTCATTGCACTGCAGCGATGTCTAAAGCTGGAAGGACCCTCCTGGAAAACTTGCATGCCTTTAGAATGCTCAGCTTCCTCCCATCTTGTGTTGTTCCTCCTCTTTTCGAGTTAATTTGGTGCCCTAAGAGCTGTGAAATGTGTGTGGCCAAGGTAAAAGTGGCTTTTTTTTTTTTTTTTTTTTTTGGAGCTTTTTCCACGAAATGGCTTCGTGCTGGTGGACATGTTGGGCTTGTGTTGGAAGAGGCATTTATTAATTCAAATGCCGGATCAAATGTCCGTGGCCTTTGTTTTCTCGGGACACTGATGTATCCTCCAGAGCCTGCCCGAGACTTCACGAGCTCCTGTTAGTTTAACTATCAAGTAATAACCGTGTTTAATATTAAACTAACAATGTAGTTCGAATGAGCTGATGCATATTCATGTTTGGGAGGCGACTTCATTCCTCAGTAATGACTCATCAAATGTAAAATCGGGCATGTTGGCTTCTAATTAAAAAGCCTATTCACGGTGCTAAAACCCAACTGGCTTTCACAATAACCTAATCGCCGGGATTTCAGAGCCTCAGCTGCTTGAGAAATAGTTCGAGTTAAGCCTGGAAGATGGGAGGGTGACATTTGAAAGGCTCGGCTGGTTTTAAATTCCTCGAGTTCCTGCCGCATCTGTTGGGGGCAGAAGCGCTAAATTTTGGCCGCTCGATCTTGAAGCTGAATGACAGATGAGATTTGCAGGCAGGACGCTGCCCTTGGCTCGGGCAAGACCACAGCACTGTGCAGCATCAAATGTTCCACCAGTTATTCCTCTCTGGTTCCACAAAAACTGCGGCGATTCGGTGTCGGAGCTGCCGAAAAGGATGTTGCCAGTAGCAACTTCAAACATGGAATAACTGAGGGCTGTAATTGTGCCCGGCCGTGCTGGCAGACCCTGTGTTTAGGGCTGACTAAGCTGGAACAAGTAACCCAAAAGGCAGTTAGTTATCCTGTTGTTGTTGTTGTGGGAGGTGGGAAGCGGCAGGTCAGGACGCAGCAGGATTTGCTCCTGCCTGGCTGTCAGAGTCAATTATCCCAACCACACGGAAGGTGAGCTGCTGTTTTGGGAAGCAGGTCAGCAGCTGCCTAACCCTAGAAATATCCAACCCTCTGGGGAAAAAAATGCATCCCTGAACCCACTGCCTGCAGCTGGGGAGCTGAGCTCCCAGGTGGAAGCTCCCAGGGAATGGCAAGGTGCTCGGCAGGGTTGGAGCTTTCTGGGGTGATTTGGGACAAAGCTGACTTGAGCCGTTGGGTTTTTTCCCTGTTTTCTGAGTACATCTCACACAGACAGACCTGGGGAGCTCAAGTAAGCCTGGAGCTTATGGGTCTGAAACACTGCAGGTCCTGAGCTTTGCTCAGAAAGGGGTTAAGCAGATGTTCTCTGGGGTTAGGAAATTAATCTGGAATGAGATCTTCTCCAAGCACTGGGCCTGGCTCTGCATCTAACACTTTTGTGACCTATATCTTGTCTCTCTAAGCCTAATAGCACAAAACTCTTAACTCCACGAGTAGTGCTGGAGCCGTGCCCCGGGTGAGTGACTCCAGTTGGCAGCAGATGCAGACCAGGAGCTCCCCTGCATGATGTTTGTTCAATTTGGGGGATTAACCCCGTGTCTCTTCCAGAAGTAAACTTAATTTATTTTTTTTTTTTTCAAACTATCTGCCTTGGAAAACAACTTTTTTCACTGGCTGGATTGGATGTGCTGGTGGGGACCTGAGACTTCTGATGGTGAATAGCTCCCTGGTTAACTGTTGCCTGACATGTGACTGTCACCATGGGCTTGGCAAGGAGCCCGGGCATGTTTCTAGCCTGAGCAGGGATGGCTCGTGTCAGGGAGAAAGGGGAAACACCAGCAGGGAAGCTGCATCGTGAGCCTGAACAACCTCTAAGTGCAAAAACATCCATGGGGTTGTTCTGAGATGTTTTGGGTTTTTTTTTTTTGCAGAGGCAGCAGAACTTGCTGGCAGCCCTTAGCTGGGTCACCAAGGGGTCTGTGACACGGTGAGGGTTTCACGCTGCAGTTCTTCACTTTTTGTGTGTTCTTCTTTCTAAACAAAACTCGTGGAGGGGCAGTTTTACGGCTGCTGAGGCCGGAGCTGCAGCGCTCTGGTCTCCCCCAGCACTGTCTGCTCAACCAGCAAGAGGGTTTGCCCCTTCTGATAAAGTTTTGAATTAAAATTGGGATTCTGGGAGGCCGAAAATCAGAATTTGTGGGGCCTCTCAAACTAGGGCAGCCTCGCAGAGCTGAAGGGCCTGGTTGGACTGGCTCTTGGTGATACAATTTGTCCGTTTGTGTCCCAAGCTTTGGCTCTTTCAAGCCATAGCCTCGCTTCAGGCTGGTTAGCTGGGAGTCCCAGGAAAATGGGTAATTGCTGGAGAGGAACATGAAAGCAGGATGAGAGGTGGGAAGAGCTTCTGGTGGAAGATGCGGACTTAATCTTCCTGGGATCTTTGAGCTGAGTTAAACTCAAATTATAAGCTGGTGTCCAGAGAGTTTATTTTATGGTCTTGGGGGTTATTTTAGCCTCCTGCTTGTTAAGTAATCAGGCAGGTGATTCAGCTTCTCTCTAAATGAACAAAGCTTTGGAGGGACTGGTGGGTGTGCCAGGACTGAGCAGGCAGCATTAAAATCACCGGAGTAACACCCGTAAGATGAAAGCTGCCTCTTGTGCTTGATAGCATGCCAAGCTCAGCACGAAGCTCTGACACACTGGAAATTGTTAGGATACACTTACTAGTTGGGACATGAACTTGCATACGCCTGGCTGGGGCTTTTGAGCAGTTCTGGCATCTTGATTTGCCTTTAATGAATCTTGACAGGCCGAAGGGGATGGCTAAAAGGAGCGAGCCACCCTGATTAAATCCCCTGGGACTGCTGCAGACTGTGCTGCTGCCTCCCTGTTTGGGGTCACTTTGGGGTCGACTGGTCTTGGCTCGCTGGCTGGAACTGTGAGGGGATGAAGGGGGCAGGGACCACCCCAAAAAATGGGGTCAGGGAACCTCTCCCCTTCAGCGTGGGGAAGGCAGGGGAGAGCAGACACTGCACTGGAAGCAGAACAGCTCATCATGTGCAGTCAGATCCCTCTAATGCCAGGGAATAAGTAAAGGAGAGCCACCCCTAGCTGCTGGCAGGACTCGGGATGCTTTCCAAAGTGACCTATTTCTAATGGATTAGCTTTTTATTTCACTGTCTTGCACTGGAGTGACCCATATAAGCCCAGGGAGTGGATCCTGCTGTCACCAGGCTGCTCCAAAAATTCCTACTTGCCTCTCACTGACTCTCTTTGTGTCTCAGGTTGTCCGTAGCCGCCTGGAGAAGAAAGGAATCACAGTCCATAATGTCAGGTTGAATGGCTCAGCAGCCAGTCACGTTCTGCATCAAGACAGTGGCTTGGGGTACAAAGACCTGGACCTCATTTTCGGCGTGGACCTGAAGACAGAAGATGTTTTCCAGCTCGTCAAAGACGTGGTCATGGATTGCCTGCTTGACTTCCTCCCCGAAGGCGTCAACAAGGACAAGATCACCCCCATGACTCTGAAGGAGGCCTACGTGCAGAAGCTGGTGAAGGTGTGCAACGAGACCGACCGCTGGAGCCTCATCTCGCTCTCCAACAACAGCGGGAAGAACGTGGAGCTCAAATTCGTGGACTCTCTCCGGCGGCAGTTCGAGTTCAGCGTGGACTCCTTCCAGATCATCCTGGACTCGCTCCTGCTGTTCGGGGAGTGCTCGGAGAACCCCATGGCTGAGAACTTCCACCCCACGGTCACCGGGGAGAGCATGTACGGGGACTTTGAGGAGGCCATGGACCACCTGCGGAACAGGGTCATCGCCACCAGGAACCCGGAGGAGATCCGAGGTGGGGGGCTCCTGAAGTACTGCAACCTCTTGGTGAGGGGGTTTAAGCCCAAATCGGAAGTGGATATGAAGGCACTACAGAGGTACATGTGCTCCAGGTTTTTCATAGACTTCTCTGACATCGGTGAGCAGCTGAGGAAGCTGGAATGTTACCTCCAGAGCCACTTTGTTGGGATGGAGAGCAACAGATATGACTATTTAATGACCCTCCACAGGGTGGTCAATGAGAGCACAGTCTGCCTCATGGGACACGAGAGGAGGCAGACCCTGAACCTCATTGCCATGCTGGCTGTGAGGGTCCTGGCTGAGCAGAACATCATCCCCACCGTCACAAACGTTACCTGCTACTACCAGCCAGCCCCTTATGTCAGCGAAATAAACTTCAACTACTATGTCACCCACGTGCAGCCCTTCCTGCCTTGCAATCAGTCCTACCCAACGTGGCTTCCCTGTAACTGAGCCAGGACAAACGTCAGGGTCTGTCCTCCAAGGTATTTCCTTGCCTTGGCGGGTCGGGAGGGTGGGACGGGGGGGGGTAAAAAAAAAACACAAAAACAAAAACAAAAAAAAAACCCAAAAAAAACCACACAAAAAAACCAACCAACCTTCCTAGAACTGCAACAAAAGGAAACTTCCTGGACTCCTGCTTGAGTGTCTTGTTCCTTGGGGTTGTTGGAACAAGACCTGTCTGCTGTACACTGTGATGGGAAGTGCAGTGTTATAGAAATGAGATGACTCGGACGTTCATGGGAAGACTCGCTTATGGAATTCTGGGAGGCAATGGGGTGGGGGGGTGTGTGAGGGGAGACTGTAGAATTACGCTAAGGTAGAGCTGCACTGCCCTGAAATGGATCTGAATTGTGTTGTGTTTTGTTTTGTTTTGTTGTTTGTTTTTTTTTTAGTGCAGGAGGTGTTATGGGTGTGCAAACTTGTGGTTTCTGCCAACAGAAGCCCGAGTGGCTAAATTCCTTTGAAGGACCAAAGAATCCTGTTTAAGTGCCTGTAACAATATAAACACAACTGTACTGTAAACCTTTATTATTTTTGCAGGGGCTGATGTCCCAAGAGCTTGAGTGGGGATTGTCTGAAGAGGAAAATGTTTCTGTTGTGGGGTGGGGAGGGTCGTAAGATCATTTCTAGTAACCTGGCTGAGGTTCCGTGTCGCTGAGGTTGTGTTTGTTTGTTGTGTTTTTTTTTGGCATGACTTGCTGCCTGTGAAAGGACCAGCTGGAGCAAAGAGCTGTCAAAGTGGGGCTGCATAAACCAGGGAGGTATTGGAATGGCTACGTGTAAATGCCTGAAACGGGGAACACTGGGGAAGGGGGGGAGTGCATGGTGGAAAATGCTGTGCAGAGCTTTCTGGAAAAAAAGGCAGCAGGGACTTGCATATGAATTTCTTCAAGCTCCCAAGTCTGCAGTGCCAAAATACGGTCGTGTTCCTAGATGATGAGGCAGATGATCTGTCCAGGAGCCTGCCCCAGGCTGCTGGACCTAATCCTGTATTTTCTAGGGGAATTTGAAATGCTGCTCTTCCTAGGGTTTTTTTAATTGTTTTGTTGTTGGTTTTTTTTTTGGCATGCAGTGTGGTTTTAATGCACAAAGCCAGAGGCCAGCTGGGTTATCGGGGAAGATGAGGCTTGTCCTTTTGAAGCACAAACCACTCAGTTCACGAGTCAGTTATTTCCAGCTGTTGCTGGAGCCTGTGTCCTCTGAGGAGATGGGCAGAGCTCTTCCAGTCTGGAGATCTTCCCTTGGGCAGGTCCTATCTTCCAAAGCAGCCTGTTCCCAGCTATGTGATTCCATCAGCATTTGAAATTCATTCTCTAGCTAGAAATGGAGCTTGGGGGGGGGTGGGGGTGAAGTTAGTTGGCCTTAGGAAAGAAAAAAAAAAAAAAAGAGAAAAAAAAAGTCTTCTAAACAGACCCTCTTGTGTTGTGAGGGTTTGGCTCTCTCAGTCCAACGTGGCTTTGAAGTTTTTGGGTGTCTGGAGCACAAAAGTTTTTCATGGAGGTGCCTGGATTGCTGTGCCCGTGGAGCATCTCAGATTTAACTATGCACGGAGGGAGAGGCGGGCAGGCAGCAGGCATTCCCTAGGGATGCTGCTCCAGGAACACCACGGCTTCAGTGGTGCTTCCTCCGAGGCTGAGGTACTCCAAGTATCTTTACTAACTTTTTTTTTTTTTCTTTTGTTTTGTTTTGGGATTTTTTTTTTTTTTTGTGACAAAACTGTAATAGCTGGGCAGATTGAACGCTCTTAATAAAGACTAGATCCTTGGAATGTGCATAGCCAGATTGGTACCTTTTTTGGGGTAGGGGCGATGTGGAGTTGGGAGTAAGGGGGTGGGGGGGTGGCTCTTGCGCTTAACATGAACTAACCCAGTTGAAACTGGTCCAGCTTTGCTCCCTCTCCAGACAGAGCTGAAGAAGTGTCACTAACAGTGTAGGTTTTTAGCTGCCTCCCTGCAGAACAGCTCTGCCTTCGTGGCCAAGGCTGTTGTGTCGGCTCTGCTGCAGCCCCATAACTCCCCAGAGCCTCAGTGGTGGGAGCTTGAGATTTTCCAGTGCAAGTTAAAACTGCTTTAAGGGCTGCCTGTGGGAGCAGATGATACTTTTTTCCTTTCATTTTGAACTTCAGATGAACGTAGATGCCATGTAGCATGTTTTCTACAGGCTGCTCCTGCCCACAGACACGTAGACGCACTAAATTGAGATTCCCTCCTTCCCTCTGAGATGCCCAAAAAGATTCCCTACAGCCAACAGCTCGGCAGGGCGACTTCCCATTGAGATTGCACTTTTGATATACAGAGTGTGTGTGGTGGGACTCTTGTGAATGGGTTGAATCTGACTTTTTCTAGACCTTGCAGTGATACTGTGCTGCCTCTTGTGAGGGGGCAATTGGAAGATTCCAGTAGCTTGAATGGCACTTGATATTTTTTTTTTGTTTTGTTTTAAATGTCTTTTTTTTTTTTCCTACACCTGTATCACTTGTCATGCAATGGGCTTGACATAGACTCACTAGATTCTTTAGAATCTGTTACGAATAAATACAGTGTATTCAAATCTGTTGGGTTATTTTTATTTGCTTGTCCAATCGGGGGAGTTGTGGTGATGAGGTGACTCTGCTCCCACCAAAAACCAGGCTCAGAACCAGCGGGTGACCTCAGAAGGAGTGAGCTGAGATCCTGGTCCTGGATCTGCCCAGATGCTCCTTGTACCTCAGGCTGCTCCATCCCTCTCTCCGAAGCAGCTACAAATCCCAGGAATTGTGTAGCTGTTGGCAGGTCGCTCCTACAGCTGAGGGAGGTTTCTATTTATAACACTGTTCTTTAGTGTTGTGCATCTTCCCTTTTCCTGGTTCTCCTCATGTTGCTGGAGGGGGGAGGGTGGCCCGAGGTGGTGATCTGAGGTCCCTGCTGTGGGAATGGCACTGGGAGACTCTCCCTGCTGGTTTTCCACGGCTTCATTCCCTGCTGGTGGTTGTGAACAGCAAAAGGTGGTTTGAGTAGTTAAGGCTTGGATACTGTGTGTAGCTGACCCACCTGCAGAGTGGTTCCTCTTGGAAAAGGGGAGGGTGAGAGGCTCTGGAAGGCTTATCTCCCTAAAAAAGCTCAGTTCTGCTGATGTTCAGGCCAGATTCCCGTGGGATGGCTGGCAGCTGGGTGCCAGCTCCTCCAGCTCTGGCTGCCCTCCAGCCCAAGATGAAGTTTCACTTCCCCTTGTCAAGCTACAGGCGGTTCTGGTTCCACTGCAACAATGGAGCTGACGAGGTGCCAGTCCCTCTTTGGGACAGACTTGCTGGCTCTGCATCTCCAAATTTTTACAGTCCGGGGCCAAAGCTTCCCTCTGACAGCAGGGCTGGGATGTTCTGGCTGGGCTGGCACTGTGTGAGTCCCTGTTGCCTGCTCGAGTAGGGCTCTGCCTCTGCAGAGCTGGTTTCTCTCCAAACCTGCTGGGTTTAGAGATGTTTCCCTCTCTCTGGCACAAACCCAGCACGGCCTCCTGCCTTCCCTGAGCCTCTCTCGTGTATGGAAGCAGCTCTAAAGTGTCTTAGTCCATCAGCTGTCTTCAGTGTGGGTGGTTGGTCCTGCTGTTGATGCTGTGGTGAATAAGCTGCCTCTGGATTTGTGACCCTGAGCAGAGCAGCAAAAGCCCTGACAGAGTCGGCTCAGCATTGTTGGAGCGGATCAGGCCATACAAAAGGATGTTGGTGGAAAGTACTAGTTGTGATCAGAAAGGAGCTATCAATGTTTACAGCCGAGATTCGGATCCCTCTTTTGTTAATTGTCAAATAAAAAAAAAAACCTATATATTTTCTCACAGCCTGTAGTCTGTCATTATTTCCCTCTTTGAGGCAGAGGGCGATGGATAAGTCAGGGTGTGCCTGAGGGCTCTGGTGGGTGAGATTTGGGCTCTAAGTGACACTTGGCTCAGGAGCTTTGCTCTGAGGACAGACATGTGCTGGGGTGGCTGCTCCTTTATAGTAACTGTCTATAAATATAGCTCCCTATATTTAGCCCAGTGGTCTGGGCAGTGCCCAGCTCGGATAACCAGAGTCAGGAGCGGAGGAGCCCACGCCACAGCCCGTGGTACAGTACAGCACGTGCCCACAGCACCTCTGCAAAGGGCTGCTGTGCCATCAATGCCTGGAGACGCATCCAAAAATACTCGGCGCTGTAGCAGCGAGATCACTCCCAGGGCTGGCGATGCGGGTTCCACATCTGCAGCTTTTTCTCCTGGAAGGACATCTGGCCGCGCTCCAGAATCACTGAAACGGCAGGAATTTGTCTTGACTCCAGAATGCAAGAAGCATCTTGCTCCAGCCTCCCTGCTCCCAGCCATCCTTAATCCGCTGGCCCGGTGCCGAGGGTGGCACCAGCTCTGTGCAGGCGGGTTGCTAGACCCAGCATGGCATTTAAATTTTATTTTAATCTCTCTATTTAGCTTGCTTTTTTTTTTTTTTTTGTCCTCCCTTGCAGTGTGCCAGTGTTTCTCCCCGGCTGCCCTTCTCCTCCTCCTCCTCCTCCTCGGGAGCGGCTCGGGCAGCGCGGGTGTTAACTGTGCCATTCGAGCTCCTGCAGCATGAGAGAACAGTCTGTCTGTGCAGCTCCTCTTGCCATTTATAGCTGTGTTTGGGCGATCCAGCACACGGGCCCTTGTGCTCCAGAGCCTGGTGCCAAGCACGAGACAAATGCTCCATTGATATTGGACGTTCTGGGAGGGCAGTTTGCTCCTGGGACGGGGCTGAGCTGCCGGAGGATGGCACAGCCCACCCTGCCTGGTCCTGAGCCCTGGGGGATGGCACAGCCCACCCTGCCTGGTCCTGAGCCCTGGGGGGATGGCACAGCCCACCCTGCCTGATCCTGAGCCCTGGGGGGATGGCACAGCCCACCCTGCCTGATCCTGAGCCCTGGGGGGATGGCACAGCCCACCCTGCCTGGTCCTGAGCCTTGGGTGGGTGAAGGTGGATGGTGAGAAGCGTGTGATGCTCTGTCACTGAACCCTCCAATCTCACCTCCTGGCGCTGCTGCTGGAGGGCTTTTCTACTCCAAATAGGATTTCGGCTCGTGTTGGAAACATGGAATACCCTGAGTTGGAAGGGAACCACATGGATCATCACGGACAACCCCAGCCTTGTCTCCAAGCGCTTCCTGACCTCTGGCAGACTTGGTGCTGTGACCACTTCCCTGGGAAACCTGTTCCAGTGCCCAACCACCCTCTGGGTGAAGAACCTTTTGTGTGTGGAGATGGAGGAGCATTTAAAAGGCTTTTTTTCCCTCTGTGCATGCAGTATTTGCACTGTTCAGCTCCAAACACAGGTTGCCACAGACCTTTTGGCTGTTGGCTCCATGATTTCCCTGACTCAACCACCTTCTCCCACCTCTGACTTCTTGCATCCAGCCTGGAATGTGCAGCTCAGGCGTTTCCTTCCCTCCTGAGCCATCACAAGGAGGGATCAGCTCGTGCAAAGCCTCTCGCCTGCTCCACAGCATTCCAGCTTTCCCTAAAATCCCAGTGTGCCCTGTGCCTGCTCTTCCCTGCTCCTTTTGGAAGGAGTGAGCCCTGTGTGCCGAGCTGCTGCTGCTCCCTCACCTGGGTGGATCCCCGAGCCTGGACACCCATTTCAGCTTGTAGAATCATGATGGCTCTGACAAATTTGATTAAAATCCTCTGCTGGCATCCCGAGGTATTCAGGGGAATGATTGACAACCGTCACAGAGGCGTTTCCTTAAGGAAGGAGGAAAAGAAGTCAATTGTCTTCTCGCTGCAGCCTCGAGGTGTTGCACAACCGAGCTGTGACACGAACCAAGGACGGGGTGTCCTTGCACCCCCCTGCCCGGACCCATTGCACATCCCGCCAGCGATGCCAAGGGGAAATAACGACATTCCCAGGAGAAACGAGGGACTCTGGGTGGGACGGTGGCTCTGGAGACAGGCGGGAGGCTGGAGCGGCGCCCGGGGCGGCGCAGGGCGGCGTGTGATGTGTTATCTCTCCCTCCCGTACAAGCGAGAACACGCATTTCCCCTCCCAGCAGCTCTCGTCGTTCTTTCCGAGTGCCGTAGCCATTCCCACCTCTCCCTCTCGACCGGGAGGTTTCCCTTTGGTGATGGATGAGGATGAAGCCCTGCATGGGGCCGACTGGCCGGGGCGGTTGATCATTGCCCTCTCCACCACCACGGTGTATTTACCCTCCTTATCTTGCCACTATCAAGGGTTCAGCAGGAGCAGTGTCACCCTGCCTTCAAAGGAAAAGCCACCACCGCGCAGCGTGTCCCCCAGGCTGTTTGTGTGGCCTATATTTTTGCCTTGTAATCCAAGGAGGGGCTGGGTGCAGGACACCCCTCCAGCCCTCCTCCCTTCCCCCCCGTAGTCGGCGTGGCTGGAACAGCTGATTACTTTAAGCATCCCTCTGCTAATGTGCAATTACAGGTCGCTTGGGCTTGAAATCCCAGTTAAATCCGCATGTCCGCAGCGTGACTCACCTAACAACTGCTCCCCTGAATCCTGGATGCATTCCTTAAAGACTGGACATAATGTTAACATGCAACTTACTAACCACCCTCTTCAAATGTCACCAGCGTAACGAGTTTAGCCAGTTCCTTCCTCTGCTCCTCCTTCCCCGCAGCCCTTGATAGTCCCGACAAAGGTTGATCATCCAGGGTGTAATCCCCCTTTGCAGAGGGGTTTTGTAGCAGGGCTCAGGGGGAAATCAGCCCCTCAAAGGGTACCTGTGTGCCTGGGGGGTGTTTTACCTGAGATCAGGAGGCTATAAAACCCCAGACT